ATTTGATGTGCTTTTGTCATTTTTTTTTATTAGCCCATAAAAACCAAAATTGGAATTTTGCTGCTGTTTTTACAAAATTTCACAAAAATCACTTTTCACAACGCAGAATAAATACACATTAAAATGTACAATATTTATTTTCTGGGAAAATCAACCAAACATATTTGCATCGTGTCTTGCACATATCCAAATTTTCCATTTTCCAACTCTTCGTTGAATTATTGAATTATCATATCCAAATTTGAGAATGTCCCTCCCCCTAGTATCACCTGTGACCGACTAGCAAATATTGTACAATTCTTGGGGGTTTTAATAAGAGTTTCTTGTAAAGATGATTGATTGTGAACACAAACACTCAATGTGAGGTCTAGGGATCATGCCAGACTGCATTAGTTTTGATGTTTAGCAAAATGAAAGATGTGAACTGGGAGAGAAGGTCCAATCCCTGAGTTCACAGAGGAACTGTCTGCGCATCAACTAAAAACAGTCATGTTGTTCATTACAGAGTCTCTGTAGTTTCAGTCTCATTGTCAGTTAATGACAATTACGCTTAAAGCCTCAGGGATTGTAGAGATGAATAAAATACCGTGGTAACTCCCCAGGGAGGGTTTGGAAGTACAGCCGTGGTCCATTTCATCTGCAAATAGACGTTGACTCCCATAGGAGTTTTACTGTAAGGGTAAGATCATTTGCATTTGTTTTAGTCCACAATGCTTTGAAAGAGCCATTCAGTCGCTTTTGACCTTACTTGTTTGTGTTAGAAGTTTGAAATAGTCTCATCGATTAGCCTCCAAAATCCTCACTGGCCTCTCGGCATATCTCTCCAAGTGTCATTTTAAGAGAGGGATGGGCTGCGGAGAAAGACATGGTGAAAAGGAAGATTATTTAAGGAGAGTTAATGAAAAAGTCCTTGAGATGTACGGTGGGTTGTCAGCGAGAGCTGTGATAGATTGAGCCTCGCTGTTATTAGCATGCGTGCGGCAGACTTTTACGCCTAGACCCGGGCCATTTGTTGATTAATTAATCAGGTAATGTACAGTATCGGAGGGAGAAAAGTGGAAAGTTTGGCCTTTCGATGTTTTTATAACCGAAAGAGAATATCTCCCGCATTCCCGTGTTGGATCCAGGAGTCGTTTGAGAAACGTGCCTGTGTAAAGTAGAACAATAAACATATATGGGGAAAAGGGTTTCCCATTTCATGAATAAATTCAATCCAGAGGCACAAAATCAACCCCGTCTGAGGTCATTCTGTTGAGTTTAGGGGGGAAATGTGTTCTTGGGGTCTCCAGTGAACCTTGGCAAGAGAGTTAAGAACATAAACATGGGGTTACGGTGGTTAGTATGCTGTAGAAATCAGATTGATGGCTTGTGCCATCACGCTTTCATTCACTGACTACTGAAGAGAGTTTTTGTTTGGTAATCAAATTTTCATAATCAATGTGCATGCAACATTTCAATGGAGCTAGGCGTCACGAGAAAGCAACTTAGTCAATGACAATGATTACTTTCATTGAATGGAAATGTACTTTTATTGGAGGCACTTATTCATATTGTCGCCCCACGGATTTGTACACTCTCTGTTATTGTACAAAATTTGATTATCACCCCCGGGAAATTCTATTTACTGTATAGGACCCACACACAAACTCTCCACGAATTAGTGTGATATTGGAAGCGTATGTTGCGAGTCTTGCTTTGACTGGAAGACTGACCACAATCTGTACTTCCTCACGCCTTCCCTCGAGCCAAAGCTACTAGTGTGCAGGAAATGACATCACTCAGAAGCACAGGATTTTGAGACCTTGTCCTCATGCCTTGGAGCACTTTTGAATCCCAAAGGGCAAGTGTTGATAACCACACAGTGTTGTTTCATTGACTGAGAAGCCTGTCTATACCACATCCTGTCCGAAGGCAGCACAAGTGTGGCCATTTAAGATTTCAATCAGGAAGGGACAAAGGTTGAGGAAGTTAGTCGAGTAATGTCTTTGGGGAATGATACACATGTATATGTATATATGTACAACATCTCAAAAGTGTTTTTTCCTGTTAATCCCTTGACAAAGGCAATGCTAACCAGGGTAATAGTTAATAGTATATTCTAAATATTCTCAACTGGCAGCATTTGTGGCATAAGGGTGTCACATGTACCTTTGTACGATGAAGTTCCTCAGGCAAAATCAGATTCATGTTTGTGAACATGTGAATTCGTCATGTTTACTAATATAAATCTGCCGAGTTTGGAAGTGACTCTGAGTAAGTGGTGTTTCATACATCGCTACACTATTGACTATGGACCCTCTTTACTCACAAAATTGTGTTGAATTTTGTTGAACTTTTCACTAATGTGAACACACCTTTATGTTGATTACCAAAGAAAAAAATACAATTTAACTCGCCCTTCGTTTTCATTACAGAAAAAAAATAAGTTATACGGCTTGTGGTGTTTTGTTGTTATGGCCAATTGGATGTCATTTTAGACAGAAAATGTTAGTAAGCAGTTTTACACATTAAAATCATGTTAACATGCACATTTGTTTATGTCTTGTGGCTAAACTATTGAAACAGTGAGTATTTTAACTAGTGTGTCAAATCGATTAATCGCGATTAATCGCATCTAACAAAAGTTTTTGTGTGTATATATATATATATATATATATACTGTGTATATACTGTATATATATATATATATATATAAAGTATATGTACGTATATATATGCTGTGTATATATGAAGAGTTTGGTTCCAAAACGCAATAAATCCATTTAGATTAATTTGAGTAAAAATGTGTTTTCTTTACCAAGAAAATGGAAAGATGAAAACCACTATTTTCTGTTTCAAACTTTCACATAGCATTTGTAGGTCATAATAACAAAAAAAATTTAAATCCAGGTTTTTGGCTTTTTAAAGATTTATTATAAAAACGGATTATTTTTTTCCCCAAAATGCAATAAATCCATTTTTTTTTTCAAATTCAAAATGCAATTAATCCATTGAATCAATACAAAAGTTTTTTTTTTTTTCATATTGAAACTGTTGAAAATACACAACAACGTAAGTTTATTAGTATAATATTTTTATTAAGAACTGTAAAGAAGATTGAAAACATTTTTCCTCCTCCCGAGTGCCTCATCTTCTTAATCTCCTCACGTAAATGATTCGATTTCGATGCCTTACGTTTCTTACCCACCGCAGAAACAACCACAGGTTCATAAATACCGTCAAAATTATTCATTTTTTTGTTTGTTTGTTGATCTAAAAGTACAAAATAGATAAGAAAAACTAGGAAGCCGGGTGTATGTAAGGCGCTGCCGTTACTGTTTACATTGCGTGGAATGGTGCGTTGTGATTGGTTGAGAGCGGATATATCGCATTCTGCAGAGAAGGGAGACTGGCGTTTGTCGCGGTTTGGAAAGAAAGGGAGAAAACATGACAGAATAACACGGCGGATATCGCATTTTTCTTAAAGCTGCAGTCTTTCAAGTTAAAAATAATCCAAAATAATTATTTAAAAAAAAACATTCAGCCAGTGTTCAAACCTATCTGGTTGCCGTAGCTCGATTCAAAACGGTTAGCTTGTAATAATGATTTTAATTCCAGTGGTACTGGTGGGTTTCCGCGGGAAATTGGAGCATGTCTTTGCGTCATTACGTCACACCCGTACACATAAAGAAGGAGTTTCGGCTAGCCGGCTATACTGCGCGTGACGAGATGTTTAGATGTATAGGCTTTTCTCGCAGCACTTTACATAATTTAACTTATGGCGGATCCAGAAAGATCCAAACGACAATCATCAGTGTCAACTGGAGATTCACCAGTTATAAAACCCAAAAGACTTCGTACTTCGGATTTAAAGTGGCTAGAGAAAGACAGCAACCGTCTCATGCGAACACAAGGATAAACATCGGCGGGGCTTTTGAAAAGTGCGTGAAGGGGTTCAAAACGGAAGAAGAGACGCTTTTTTTCTGCTGGACAAGTAAGACATTTCAATAGTTCAATCGTGTGACAGTACGTTTTCTTAATTCACACAGTTATGGAGTTTCCTTTGTTGTGCCTTTCTCGTTTAGCTATTATGGAGAATATGAATTCTGAACTAGAGGTAACCATAAAACACATTAAATCACGCAATGCTGATGTTGTTAACATTAACAATTTGAGAACAAAGTAGGCCTATAATTTGCACGGTTTGACATGATAAAGCGATCGTTAGATTTAATCAGCGCGATTTACTGCAGACAGTGCAATGCATTTTTCCCCTTAGTTGATCTGAACAAAAGTGAATGTTACTTACTTGTTTAGAGGACATTTTCCGGTGAAAATTCTTATGTTGGTCATTCTGTACTTCCAAAAAGTATAATGTGTGATTCTGAATGCCAATATCCACACCGGCGCTGTGACCGACAGCCGCGACGCGCACTCTCCTCACAACATTGTGTTCATCCGCGCTCTTTCATGCCGATGTACAACTCACGTAAAATTTATAATTCCGCGAATGACTGCAATTGCAGACTTTAAACAGAGATGGCGACAAAGAGGAAAAGCTACGGACTGCAGCTTTAAAATTAAACATTGACTTTTCAATACCAACCAGATACAATACTGATTTTTGCAGTAACTATTTTTTTTTTTAAATGGCGTTTATCGCGTTTTGGAACCAAACTCTTCATATATATATATATATATATATATATATAAAACAGTAGTATTATTTAAGATATCTGCTCCTCTTTTTTTTTTTTTTTTTTAAGATTAGATAATACTGTTTATATTGCAGTCTTATTGTGCAAAATAGAAGGGATGTGTTGAATCTAACGTTGTCATACTTGGCCGTTCCTCTTTTTGATATGTCAAGTATTCTGACAGTTTAATTTCCTCCAGGTATTCCAGTGCTCTTATTGAAACGCGGAACAAAGAAAGAAAGGTTTACTCCTTTAACCATCTTAAACACAAACAATCTAGAAGTCCGTCTCAATTCATCCCACACTCTGTCTCTGCCGCCACAGGTTTGGCAAAAACCGCAAAGACGAGAGGCAAGGAGACAAGATGGAGCGGAAGGGGTCCAGCAAGAGCAAGATGGAGGAAACTCAGGCCACTGAAGAGGAGATGCAGAGAATGAGGCTAGAACAGGAGAGGTGAGCGCCTGCGTCCCGGTCCCCGTAAAAAGCCTCTCAATTAAAGCTAACCACCGCTGCCCGGAGAATTAGCAAACTGTCTAATTAAGTAAATGGCGTCCAGGGAGGTAAAAGTTCTGGGAAAGCTCTTAGATGTCATTGGTGTAAACGGTCAAGAGCTTTTATAACGGTGCATTAAAATGATCACGTATGGATTGTTTGTTTCTTTTGTGCTCCTGAACGGAAGGAACCAGCCTGATAATGGAGTTTCTGTGGGGCCGTGGACTAAATGGAGGCCCTTAGAGAGGGGACTGAATGAAAGGGGTGTTGTTATTTTTGTAACAGCGTGAGACACACTTTCAGTCATTTAACTTCCCTGTCTTTCAAATTATTATAGATGTGGTTTCTAGGCAGATGTTCTTTTCTCTATCTCTCTCTCTCTCTCTCTCTCTCTCTCTCTCTCTCTCTCTCTCTCTCTCTCTCTCTCTCTCTCTCTCTCTCTCTCTCTCTCTCTCTCTCTCTCTCTCACACAAAGATGAGGAAAAGCAGAGCAGTAATTTTAATTAGAAATAATACAATATAATAGTGTTTTATATTATTATATAATATTTAGTCATTTAATATATACAGTAGAGATGTCCATTTGGGGATATTTTATCAAAATATGAGAAAATATGTATTTTTTAAATATGAGGGAAGAACAATACACTAAACTTGGTAAAGGTATTTATCTTCCAAAATGATTTGGCAAAATATAAGCAAATTGTTAAAAAAGTAATTCATACTTTTATTCAAATATATGTTTTTCTTTTGACCTTTGTGTTTATCAGAGAATCCTGAAAATAAAAATGTTTCACTGTTTCCACAAAAATATGAAGCAACTGTTTTTAACATTGATAATAATCAGAAATGAGCTGCAAATCATCATATTAGAGTGATTTCTGAAGGATCATGTGACACTGAAGACTGGAGTAATGATGCTTTGATCACAGGAATACATTACACTTTAAAATATATTACAATACAAAATCATTATAATATTGCATTTCTGATAGTTCACATGTATTTGTAGAAATTGCCTTTAAAATGATGTGTTTGGATCGGCCTTCACATTATACAGCCATAAAACAAAAGCACTTTGTTGTCAAGCCAGATAATTGAAACATAACAATAGGCTCAATCCCATGTTTAGCGGAGGCTTCGCTCAGGCCCTGCGCTGACAATAAGCCTCCGTCCACTCAAAGGAACATCTGAACCCTGTTTCTAAGCGCTTGTCTCGTCTCTGACACTCTCCTCTACGGCTTTGGCCGCGGGCCCAACACATTGCCAGCTCTGCCCCAAAGACAGCAGGCTTTCCAGGCCCCGATCTTATGTGTCGACCACCTGGAGCTCTTAGAAATCCGGCTGAAATGTCGGGAGAGAAGTGTTGGCCGGCTGCGATGCGTTCGCTAACCCCTGCTCTTATTTACACTCATTTGTCTGGATTTGTTTTTCACATTTCCCACATTGCATTGTTAAGTTACTTTAGCTGCTCTGTTTTTTGTAAGCTCTCTGTTATCTTTCTTTTTTTCCTTTTCTCACCTCTGCCATCTTCCTTGAGTTGATAGCAGGGGATCCTTAAGGGAAATCGGTCTGTTATAATAATAATCTGCCCGGCCGGCACACGCTGATGCGATATTCAAAGTCTCTCACCTGGGAAACTGACAGCTAGGAAAATCAATTACCTTATTTTTAAGGGTGTTATTACACGCCGTGCTGCAGGTTAGACTGCCGTGTGTGTGAGTGTGCATACGTGCACTAGCAGGGGCTTTGATTGATTATACGAGGCACGGGGACAAGGCCATTTCTACACACTTATGAAATTATAGATCAGGTGATAGGTGGCGCTGATGGCTATTGGAGGTGATGTTTCCAGCAGCGCTAAAACAAGCCACGGGGATCCGGGAAGAGGAGGACGCCGGAGCCAGCCTTCCCCTGACACGACCGATCGTTAATTCCACCTGACGTTTTGACAGGGGCTTTTAGAGATCCAGAAGGAGAAGGCAGCCCAAAGGTTGGCTAGATTAATTTTCATAACGCGCCACCATTAGCCTATCTATTTCTGGCGGGGAGGGCACAGCCTGCTTTTTAGCACACCTGACCCTCAAGGATGTTTATGAAACTCATCTGCGACTCATATACTGGCGTATTGTTGATGACTTCATTCTCACAGAATCCTTTCAGCTGTTAGTTTTATGCTGATGGTCATAGTGATGTGAAAGGAAGAGGTCACACAAATATGTAATTCTATCATTTTGTCACCCTCATATTATTTTTGTGCCACAAGCACATTTATACTGATATTGTACAGATATTTATACCCATATTATACTGATATCATTCAGTAGCAATGTTATTAAAATGGGCGAATATCAAATTGATTAATCACATAAAACATACAATTTTGTGTTTATATAATATATGTGTGTATATATATATATATATATATATATATATATATACTGTATAAGTATATACAAACAGTACCATACCATACAGTATACAGCACTCATATATATGTAAACATGTGCTTTTATATTCTTCTGTGTGTGTATATATATATTCAACCATTTTAATATTTTTATTTTTTCATATTTTACTTTACAAGAATAAGTATTTAGTAATCAAAATATGCCCTGTAATGTCAAAAGGAATAAATATTGTTGATGTTTTACTTCCACTTCTGCTGGAAACTTAAGTGAATATGTATAGGTATATTATTGAAGTTTTGCAAAATAGGCACGTTTACCCATTGAGCCTACAGGTGAAACTCGAACAATTTGAATATCGTGCAAAAGTTCATTTATTTCAGTAATTCAACTTAAAAGGTGAAACTAATATATTATATAGACTCATTACATGCAAAGTGAGATATTTCAAACATTTATTTTTTATATAATTTTGATGATGAAAACCCCAAATTCAAAATTTGAATATTGTTTTCATAAGCTGTAAGCCATAATCATCAAAATTATAACAGATAAAGGCTTGAAATATCTCACTTTGCATGTAATGAGTCTATATAATATATTAGTTTCACTTTTTAAGTTGAATTACTGAAATAAATAAAATTTTGCACAATATTCTAATTTTTCGAGTTTCACCTGTATATATTGCCTATATGTTAAGAATTCATATTTTGGAAAATTTTCATTTTTGTGTTTGACTAATTGTGCAGTGGCCTCAAAAAGCATTTGAGCTCTCAAGACACTTCAAAATGTTTGAATGCCATCACACTAGATAACAAAATATCAAACCAAGTGACATTTATTTGAATGACAAAAAGCACATGCACTCTTTTTAAGGACAAAAATAGGTTTGAAATGATATAACACTCTCAAAATGAAGACAAAACGTGTTTGGACACTCAAACATTAGTGTAGGGTCGTTCCTCTTCTAGGCCACATCTGTGAACCCGGGGACCAGATGACCTCGAGATGAAGTGCAATGCGTTTTTTAAGAGTGGCTTTTTGGGATAGGAATAATATGAGATTAAAATATGCGAAACTGCTCAGAAGCAGCACTGGTGCTCGCAGACGTGATTTAGAGTTAAGTTGATGAAGTGTTGCCATCAGTGGCATTTGTTTTTGTCACAATCGAGGAAATTGTAAGCAGCTGCGTAGCAACTTCCAGCAATCCTTCGCTAGTCCTCAACAAACTGCATTTTCCATTCCTCATCAAGGGCTTCATCAGAGCCTGACGCTCCAGGAACACGGTGACCATTGTGGGGTCTTGTTTATGCCTGTTGCAGTGTTGCAGTCCTGTCCACCATATGTAAGTTGACTGAGCGGACCACCGTGGCAGGACGCCATTTACAACATGTGTGTGTGCAGGAGTGCGTAGGCAACATAACCGGCTGAGGATATACCAGTGGCTTTCATCCTCCTCTGTGTATTTACATTTGGCTGATCAGGCTTTGTACACACAGCAGAAATGGCCAGAGCAAACATTATGAGAACCTTCATGGTAAACTCCTTCTCATCCAGCATGTATCCTGGCTATTAGCTTATCTTCCTGGCTCCATTAGTGTTCATCAGTGACTAGCACAGCTCAGGCGTCCTGACGGCCTCTCCACTCTTCAGCAAAGCTTCCTCTGGAATTTGTTTGGTTCCTGATACTGTGTAATGCTCAGAGACACGGCACTGTTATAATCAACAGTGGTTATCTCAACTAGCTTCCTCTTTTCTTCAGGCGGAAGCATGAACTTTGAGGGTTCGCCGGTTGTGGGGATTGAAAATAGCGCTTGGAACGCACTTCATCGTCAACTTTCCCAGCCAAAAGACCCACTATAACCCACTATACCCACTATAACACAGCCAAAATACCCACTATAACCCACTATACCCACTATAACCCAGCCAAAAGACCCACTATAACCCACTATACCCACTATAACCCAGCCAAAAGACCCACTATACCCACTATACCCACTATTACCCAGTCAAAAGACCCACTATACCCACTATAACCCAGCCAAAAGACCCACTATAACCCACTATACCCACTATAACCCAGCCAAAAGACCCACTATAACCCACTATACCCACTATTACCCAGTCAAAAGACCCACTATACCCACTATAACCCAGCCAAAAGACCCACTATACCCACTATAACCCAGCCAAAAGACCCACTATAACCCACTATACCCACTATAACCCAGCCAAAAAACCCACTATACCCACTATAACCCAGCCAAAAGACCCACTATAACCCACTATACCCACTATAACCCAGCCAAAAGACCCACTATAACCCACTATACCCACTATAACCCAGCCAAAATACCCACTATAACCCACTATACCCACTATAACCCAGCCAAAATACCCACTATAACCCACTATACCCACTATAACCCAGCCAAAAGACCCACTATGCCCACTATAACCCAGCCAAAAGACCCACTATACCCACTATAACCCAGCCAAAAGACCCACTATACCCACTATAACCCAGCCAAAAGACCCACTATAACCCAC